GCTCCACGCTCAGTGGAGAGTCTGCTTGAAGATTCTCTTCCTCTGCCCTTTCCCCTACTCATGCTCGTACTCTCTCTCTCTCTCAAATGAATAAATCTTAAAACAAAACAAAACTGGATCTGCTCCCACATGCCACAAGCCACTGGAAGAGAAATAACACCAGTGCCTTTCACTTGGGTTGACAGGTTTAACAGTGGAGGATTAAGAGAGTCTTCTTCACGGTTCGGGGTATGACATGAGCCTAACCACCTACACTTGTTCATCCTGAGAACGCTAGGTAAGAAGCCAACAGAAAAATATGGCAGTCCTGGATTATTCTGCTACACAGTGATGGAACTGTAACTTGGAGAACGAGTATTTTTACGAATCCTCTCCAACATAACAAATAGCCCTTTCAGAGTATAATGCCATGCACTGCTAGGTGAAATGTGCAACTTCCAAGAAAAACAGAATTGTAATAATACAGAGAATTATAATTTGTATGTAGCAGCAATGCTTAAGCAATTTTATATAAGAAATTGGGCTTAAAAGGATGCCTCATAAACCCCCTTACCTATAGTAAATAAAACGGGCATAGGGTGCATTTAGAAATAAGTTGGGAAGGAAAACTGATCAGCAAAAGTAGTGGATCTTATGCAGGTCTAAATTTCACATCTTGAGTGTCACCAAGGAGGCAACAAAGAGAGAAACTGTAGCCGCAGAGTACTATATGCCTCAAATTCCATTTATTAAAAGTGCTCTTCTGTTTTTTTTTCTCTCCTTTACTGTCAGCTTTAAGATTTCAGGCTTGCTCTTTTGTTTGGTGCTAACCAAAGGAATTCCACTGCCCAGTGTTGAGAATTTGGCTAGTAGAAAGAATCTTGATAAAAGGAGAAAACACATTCCCTCTTCCTTTATAGCTACAGAGAAGCAGACTTTCCTTGCTTCATAAAGTTATTTCTGATAAAATGGTAAACTGGGGATAATCACAAAGATGTATAACTTACTCTGCTCTCCAGTGTGGAACCTGCATAAAATACACAAACTCCTATTCTCTAGTTAACAAAGAGGTTTTTAGACAGCTGTGTGACAGCCTCAGAGATTCTGGTGAGGAGCTCTAAAAGGCAACCTTTGACCTCTAAAAAGGCTGCTTTCTAACTGGGTACCTTACTTGATAATTTGTTGACTTGGTCATAATATTTAAAGTAGCCTCTCCGATTTTTTTTTTTTTTTAAAGTACTAGGTACTCGTAAGGCTTTATTTTTTGGCTGGCCAGAAGAACTTGATATTCTTCTCTTTTCCCTTCATGCATAAAGTATAAATAAATGATGTATTCCGTGTTTAAAGTTTGGGTCTTTGTCTTATTTAAACGATCATACCCAAATTCAGCTTGTGGATAAACCGGCACAAAAAGCATGAGACAAACTCATCTGCTAAAGAACAGAAGAGAGGGGGCGCACCTGGGTGGCTCAGTCGTTAAGCGTCTGCCTTTGGCTCAGGTCATGATCCCAGGGTCCTGGGATCGAGCCCCGCATTGGGCTCCCTGCTCAGTGGGAAGCCTGCTTCTCCCTCTCCCACTCCCCCTGCTTGTGTTCCTTCTCTCACTGTGTCTCTCTCTGTCAAATAAATAAGATGTTTTTTTTTTAAATAAAGAACAGGAGAGGAACTAAAAGGGTTTTTGAAAGATTAAGCACACATATACATTAATTCAGGATGGTTTTCCCTCTAACTTCTTCCACAGTTGGAGGGATCAGATGCCGTTTTAACTCAATTGGCCCGTTACCATTATGCTCCACTTAAATCCTTGTGCAGAGGACGTTCGTTTGGGTACTCCGGTATTCACAAGAAGCTCTGCCCTGCTCCTTGGCCACAGAGTCCTAACACCACAAACCCATTTAAAACATGTATCGTGATGTACAGTCAACAGCCTCCTAATCTTTCTTATTATGGACAGATCATCAGCACTATTGTTGATAAATTATCATTCCCAGGATTGGCTTAGCACAAATAGGACAAATCTTCTTCTACTTCAGACACAAAGCTCCAATTCACTCAATCTTTTCAGCACGTTGTAATTGTATTTCTCTCAGCTGTGTTTTACCTTCAGCTGCCAACATATATTTAAAAACAACACAAACTGGAAGAATGTCCAATGCAACTTACTGTAGGTGGATATGACTGGATTTTTTTTTTTTGCTGTGAAATTTGAGTCATGTTTGAGTAATGAAATAAACAGAAACTAAAATGCAGCGCAAGCACAAGAATCAGCCCTTAATCAGTATCTTCTAAAAAAATAATTTCAGATAAGATGAAAATCTATTCACCTTCACAATCTGCTGACTCTGAAAACAATGACTGACATCATCCCATTTTTAAAAAGAGCTTAAAAAAAACAAACAAAACTCTTCTGCTTGCCTTCATAAAAATGGGTAATTTTCCTCTTAATTGTTCATTGTAGAAAATAAAAGCCAAAGAGAGAAATACAAATCACGTATAATTAAAGAGAGTCTTTTAAAAGTCTTTTGATTGTGAGAGTGCTTTATTACCTGTAAAACCCCATACAAGAGCAAAGTAGGATTAAAATCACCCCTGTTACCAGGCTGGCCTCCACCCTGGTACAAATATCTTCCAAGGGTTCAGGCACATTCTGGTGAGTCCTTATGCCCACAGCTGTAGCTATGAAGCCAGCATTTAAAAAAAAAAAAAGCCACAAAGCCCTTCAATCCACTGCCACTGAAATCCCTAGACACCCCATCTCAGAAGGACTCTCACACACCCAGTGTGATTTCTCCTAGTAGATTCCTGCCCTGTTGGGGAACGGGCTTATCTGGAAACTGTGGGGGAAGGAGCAGCCCCTTCTTTCCACTGCTGGAGGTTCTAATCGTAAGAAACTTTTGCTTTTATGTCAAAGTGAAATCTGTCTTCCTATAAATACTACTTGGCCTCTTCTGTACTTGGGAATTACCCTAAATACATACATTCCCTTTGCTACATGACAAACCTTAAATATCTGAAGACAATTAGAACACATTCACTTCTCTGCCCAAACCTTTCTGCAGGTTTAAACATCAAAGCTGGAGAAATGAAAATTAGTGTCATTAAGCTATAGCACCTACTTAACTAGCCTGGAATGTCAACCTGAGTCAAACATGGGAAGCACAGAGAGGAACCTAGTCGCTGACCTTTAAGGATATCCAATCCAGTAGATATAATTAATCTTAGTTAATAAACATGTGTGCCCACTATGGATCAGGAACTTTTTATGGCTGACTTTGTTCAAGACTGAAGAAAAAGCCCCATGTCTTTTCTTGTTAGAAATATGAGAAAATGATTTTTTTGAGAAAATGATTTATAAGTATTTCTTAAAAGCATCAATGTTAACGTCAGTATTGTTGCAAATGCTCTCTGCCAATTAAGTGATGATATTAAAATGAATTTATCCAGTGAATCACAGATGAAAGAGTTAAGAACCTAAGTGATCTTCCATTGAAAGCAAAAGGATTCACTTAAAAAAAGAATATTTTCCGAGAAACCTGTTAGATTGATGTACTTACATGTACCACAGTAAAAATCTGATACACACAAGTAATTGTTTTGTATTTTGGATTTTAAATAACGTAACCTAAATTTACTGAGTAATTATAAGATGATGCAGAGAAACAATAAAAACTATTTTAAGGTTTTTCAGTAGTGTGTATATGTAAATACATACACATATATACACGTGTATAGGTGAACACATATATATCACAAGCCTTAAAACCTTTTCCCAAAAATATTTCACATAAGATAAACATTTAGTCAAAAGAAATGCATACATTTAAAACATCTTTGGAGATAAAAGTCACTTTAAATGTTAGTATCTTTTTCCTTACAATTCAATGGGAAGAAAATGCAGACAAATTGACAGTGCAAAAAAAATCATTTAATAAAACAACAGTGCTCTTTATATAAATCTCAAACTTAAAAATCTTATTTAAAAAGACCCAGCAATTCTAGCTTTAACACTCCTACAGGTAGGTTTCTGAAAATGCGTAATGTATTAAAGCGCTACAGCCTTGGAGCTTGTATTTTGTAATAAGACCTATTACCGCAACCTAAATTTCGGAGCACGGCTATATTTCCTCTTAGGTGACCTCATTTTCAATTATTGGAATAGATCATACTGCTAAATATCAAAGCTTGAATTTAAACAATACAGGTCAGCACGAAAACGTAAGTTAGATAAACTGGAGTAACTCACTGTAGTAGACCGCAGCTCTGTAGTCAAGCCTAGAGCTCTACTGCATATTTGCATTATGCCCAATTTCATGAATTACAAGCAAATCGTTATTTAGGGTCATCTAAAGCCTACATCAAAGCTTCAGAAAAGGGCTGTAGGGTAGAGTACTTACGTAAAGGGTTATCGAGACAGGCGACAAGGCAAGTTATCAGGGAGGGTCTCTAACGTCCAGAGGATGGTAAAACGCATTTAAAAAGGCGATGTGGATTCAGACGGCCGCCTCCCCCACAGCATCCCAGACAAAGCAGGGCCAGGCCCTCGGGCGCTCCAGGTGCACCTGCAATGCGGATCCCTCACCCTGCCATCTCACCCCGGGGCTGGTCGGAGCAGCCCCTGAGCTGGCCGCTCCTGCCCCATCGGATTGGCTTGGGTGCGCGGTGCAGACGGTCCGCAACCTGGACTGGAGCCCTGGCAACGGCATCCCCCTCCCCATAACCGGCTGGAAAACCGGGCAGGCAGCCGGCGTGGGGTCGCTGCGCCTCACTTTTGCCCTCCTTTCCATCTTTTCGTGCCCCCCCCCGCCCCGTTGTTTCCGTAAGGGGACACCCTTCCCCACCGCCGAGCCCTGGGGGTGAGACGCGAGGACCCCCTCCCCCTGCAGCAAGGGCTTTTAAAACAACCTAAATAAATTCGGGTCCCGACAGGTGCCCCCGCCCCCCCACGGCGCCCGCAGAGCCTCCCCTGGGGTACGGCCAGGTGAGCGGGGCTGGACTCGGTCACACCTCGGGCCCCGCCTCACCTGCGGGCGCGGCCGTCGCGGTCCTTCAGGCGGCTCCCCCCCTCGGCGCGGTCCTCCGGGCGGGCGGCTGCGGGGGCTGGCGGCCCATGGGCGGGGCGGCGGGCGGGGCTGGCTCCCGGCTCCGGCCCTGCCCCGGCCGGGCGGCCGAGGGAGGTCAGTGGGCGCCGCCCGCCGAACGCATCTCGCCGGCTCCCACCCGAGCGCTCGCCGCGGTGCACGCTGGGAGCGGGGGCCGGGGCGGCGAGGCCAGGCCGCGGGGACAGGGCAGACGGCTGAGGCGCCGGCGCGGCGGCGGCGGGTCTGTCTGCGGGGCAGGGCGGGGGAGGCCGCTCGATACTCGCTTCGCTGAGGGGCGATGCCCCCCCCCGCCCAGCTGTGGCGGGGCACGGGACCTGACCAAGGGGAAGGGGGGGGGTCTGGCCGGTGGGACGCAGGCGCAGAGCTCAGGTGCGGCCGCACTGCGGTTGCCCAGGGTAACGCGGGCCCGGGTGGGGCGGGGAAGGAGGAGCAAGAGGGCGCGCGGGAGCGCGCGCGCAGGGCTGGGGGTTGGCGAGGGGGGCGGGTACCCGGGACCAGCCTGGGATTGGGGGGAGGGCGCGCGCGGGCGGCCGACGGGGGCGGGAGCGGTGGGGGGGAGTGCCGGGGCGAGGGCCTGACGGCGCGCATGCGTGCGGCCCCCGCTCCCCCGGGGCTCGTCGGCCCCGTGCGTGCGCACGCGCGCTGTCCCCCGGAGGCGTCTGGGTGTGCGGAGCGCGCGCGCGCGGCTGGGAGGCGCACCTGTGAGGTGTCCCTTGAGGAGAGGGAGGGTGGGTGCGCGGAGCCCGCGGCCTGGGGCGCTTCAACCCCTCACTTGGAGTGAGTTGTCGGGCGGCCGGGCTGCAGTCTCTCTATTTCTTTTCGGGAACGAGGCGGGGGCGGGGGCGAAAGGGGAGCGGGCTCGGGGTTGGAAGGAGGATGAGTGGGTTAAAGAAAAGAAAAACAGCCCATCACTTAGGATGGGCCTCGAGCCGGGGCCGGCCCCTGGGCGTCGGTGGGAAAGGTCAGAGCGGGCCCCAGCAGCCGGGCTGCCCGGCGGCCACCGGGCAAGGCCCCACGGAGGGCAGCCTGGCCTCGGGCCTCGGCCGGCCGGCGTGGGCCCGCAGCGCCGGGAGCGGGGCGCGGGGGTCGCAGATGGCTGCCGGGTGCGCGGCGAGGGATGGGCAGCGGCAGGGGCGAGGCCGGGCGGAGGCCCCGCGGGAGCCGGACTCCCGAGCCGGGCTCCATTGTTGTTGGAGCCGAGCGAAGGGGGAGCGAAGCCGCTTCAGAAGCCCGTGAAGCCGCGCCTTGGAGCTTTTCCAGGCGGGTCCCCGGAGAGGCGGTAATGGCCGCGCCGTGGGAGCAGGGAGCCGGGCTGCGCCGCGGAGAAGCCCGGCTGCATGGTGTGATGTTGTGTTTTTTAGAGCGCCCTGCGTCCCAGCAGAGCCCGCCGAGCATCCTTCTCAGGTGATGAGGAACGTTTCGCGCACCCAGCGCAGAACGCCGCTGCCGCTGGACGCCTCCATTGTTTGACCACAGCAAGGGCCGGAGTCGCACCCAGGTAAACTGGATGGCCGCGCAGCCGAGCTCCCTCTCAGCTCCCACATGCAGAGGAATCCTCTCCTCTTTCAGGACTTGACTTCGGTTTGCTTACTGTCCCCCGCTTCCGATTAACTCAGTTTACCCACCTCCCAGACATTTTCCCATCTGGATTAATCTTCCCGCATCTCTCTGCCAAGTCACCTCTCATTTCCCTCAGAACTCGGCTCCTTTGTGAAACCTTCCTTGCCGAACTCTAACGACTAAATCTCTCTAGGAGGAGCCTGCTCTGTACTCTTCCAGGGGCTAGTTTGTTTACTGGCTGTCTTACTGCAACAAAGGAGACGAGGTATTAAAAAATAATGTAAGTCACTGCTTATTTAGAGGAACGTTTTGTGACACTTAGATGGTTTATTGTTTTAACAGGGTTGAACCGTTTTTTGTTGATATATTTTGTCTTGTCTTTTAGAGAGGCCCCGACATCCTTTATAGATGCACAGCTTTTAGAGCAGAAAAATGACCTTTTTGTTCAAACCGCAGGTTAATTTAAATTTTTAAAAATTAGTTTTAAATAGGTAAAGTAATATATTTTCTTTGTAAGAATTAAAACATCGCAGACATGGCTGAAGTCTTTCTCTACCAACCCCTGTCTCCAGAGATGATAACTATTGTATGTTCCATGTGTATTTTTCTAGATCTTTTAAAATGTTTTCCCCGTGTGTGTACTTTTATTATCTTTGTTTTAACAAGTGCTAGTGTACTCTTACTTTTCGGTTTCAGCATGTAATGCTTTAACTCGTTTTGAAGAACTGCTGCATCATGTTCCATAGTTGGGGTATACCATAGTTTATTTCCCAGATTGGTGGCAATTTAAATTTTAACTTTATATTTAAAGCAGCTCTTTCGGTGGTGGTTCTCTGGTGAAATGAAATTTCAGTGAAGGGAGCATAAATCTACACTAATTACAGACACAGGCCTTTAGGATGGAAGTTCTCTTTGGTTAGGAAATTTACATGTGGGACCTCTACCCCTCCCCCAATGTAATTATGATGCTAGTACTTTCCAGTCCTTTGACCTTGAGGAGGACAATCACTCTAAGCCTCAGTTTTCTTTCCCATAAATGCGGATAATACCTGCTCTGTCTACTCCACAGAGTTCAGCGATATGACATATGTGAAAGTGTTTTTGCAGAATGTAAAGTAGTATATAAATGTTGATCTTACTAGCTTTTGTGATCCAAAAGGACTTTTTATTTGCAATGTAATTCATACTTTTTTGACCAGGTGTGCCTGTTACAGAATAATAGAGATCACCAACTTTGAAGGCTTTTTAGTTTGTGATTTTGCTATAATTTTTATCAAGTACTGTTAATACATTAGACTTAAGTCAAAGAGTATTTGACAAAGCACGTTTTTCCTAGTGCTTTAAAAAATAAGACCTATAAATTAGTTGATTGTGAATAAAGTATCAGCAAAATGAATGCTACATAAAACAAAACTCTCATATTTAAACATTTCCTAGTGATATAATTTATATATGTATTTTCCTGTGGCAGCGTCAGATTCAGGTTAGCTGTTATGTCCTTGGGGTAAAGTGTATTCTTATTGAATTTGTAGGCAGTATCAAAAAGAGTTTTAACAGTTTAAATATTGATTGAATGATATGATGGGTATTGTTTTAAGACGTAAGAGATACAATTAAGGGTTTTTTAGGTATTTTTATTTCATTCAAATATATATGAATGCTTGTGGTGTGGCCAGCATAATCAATTTGTCCCTGTTCTCCTAGAGGTTATAATCTGTGGGGGTGGAGGGAACCCCAAATGAAACAATCCTGCATCAGCACATATAATCACAAACGGCATCTGTTAGGAAAGTTAAGTAGTACCAGTTACGAGAGAGTATAAAAAGAGGAGCAAATTTTAGATTGTGAAAAGGTGGCCTGGGAAAGACTTTGTGTGTGTGTGTGTGTGTGTGTGCAAAAATAAGATTTGAGCTGAGATCTGAAGGGTGAGTAGGCGTTAGCGTAGAGTGATGGGGGATAATTTTCCAGGCAGGGGAATGGCATGTGGGAAGGCCCTAAAGGGGGAGAGAGCTTCGCCCATTCCAGGAACTGAAAGAATGACTTGTGGATAGATTCTGGTGGGTGAGAGGGAAGTGTGGCTAGGCAGGGGGCCAGATCATGTAGGGTCTTGTAGGGCAGGTTAAGGATGTTTTATTTCATTCTGAGTGAAATGGGAAACCATTGCAAGGGTTGGGTTTGAAGCAGGGGAATGACATAATCATATTTGCATTTTAAAAAGCCACTCCAGCTGCTGCATGCAGAATGTGGGGGTGTGGTGTGGGGGGAGTGAAAGTGGGGGAGACTAGGTAGGCCATTTCAGAAGTCTGTCTGGAAGAGAGGTGATCTTTCCCTTGGAGTTCACATTGAATTCAAACTGCCACCTAAACTATGGACAAAATAGATATTTGATTAGAAAAAAATCCTTGTTTCTTATTTTTAAAAAGTAGGCACTTCTTTGTGCCTACAGAAATATTAAGCTAATTATCCACACTATACTTAACAGAAAGTTATCAGAGTCAAATTAAAAACTGGGGAGTTATTTAACATGGTTTTTGTAAGTTTTATTAAAGCAGTAATAATATGAGATAAGAGTGAGGTAAGGATCCAAAATGAGACGAAGGGAAGTATATGTAGATGCTATTGGCTACAAAAATGAGAATAACAACAACAAAAACTATTATACAAAGAAAAATTGAGGAAGTGACTGGGTACACAATGCATATATAAAATTCATAGCTTTCTGAACATCAAAAATAACCTGGCAGAAACTAAAATGGAAAAGAAAAAACCAACCAAAAAACAGGCTCTGATCACAATGCAAAAAAACATAAAACTTGTTAAGTACAGCTTTATCGAGTCAAGTGCATTCTGCATGGAGGACACCATAAACTATCCTGAAAGATAAGAAAGAATGTCTTAAATGAGAAAACAGGCCATGTTCCTGGATATGATGTTTAAACATTATAGAGCTATCCATTTTGGGATGAACTGGACAGAATTATGAGAAATGAGGTGGGACAAATCCTGTCTGATACTAAACGTGTTATAGAACCCCATTCAAAACAGTGTCATGCTGGCTTTAAAATATCTGTACAGGTCTCTGGAGCCTAATCAGCACCCCAAAAATATGTATGGGAATATAGTAAATGATAAATCAGCATGAATGCCCCCTAAATCATAAAGAAAATGTGGAAGTAGATATTAAACATCTGGAAGAGAGGGTTTTGTGTGTTGAGGTGGGCAAAGACTTTGCAATCAGATAGACCTGAACTAGAATCTTCTAAGTGAGGAAAGTAATACCTGCTGTGCAGGTGTTGTGAGGGAAAGAGGTCTAGGTCCTGGCACTTCTCGGGTACTCGGATCTGTTATTAGTTTCAAAATCAGTGTATTAGACTACAGAAAAATTTAAAATTTCTTTAAGAAGAGAGGAAAAACAAAACCCTAAGATTAGAAGCCAAACCACAAAGTAGGAAAATATTTGTGACAAACGTAAGTGAAGGCTTAATATCTTCAACATGTAAGGAACTCAGGTCAGTGAGGAAAATAAGAAAAGTCCACACAAGTTACAGGATGTGGACAGACAGTTCACTGGATAGAAGTATAATTTGTTAAACATGTGGAAAGATGTGTACTGTAGCTAATAATCAAATAGTTTGTAATTACTCCTCCAGAAAATTTAGATTTGATTCCCAAGAGCAACAGAACTCGAAGATGTTTAAAAATGAAACAAATGCAGAAAAGCTTTATGAAGAAAAACCTTTACCTGAACAATTTGAAAGCTAACCTAAATAAATGGACAGATATTACATGTTATTAGAGGGGAAAGCATCATTGTAAACATTGAAATATTCTGCAAATTAAACTGTAATTTTAATGTAGTTCACATAAAATCCCAGTGAGAATTATTTTTGGGCACTTCGTTAATTGCTTCTAAAATTCATCTGGAGGAGGAAATGTGCTAGAATGGCCAAGAAATTTTTCCAATGGAAAAGTAGTGATAGAGGATAATACCAGATATTAAGACATACTGTAATGCTGTACTAATACAAATGGTGAACACAAGGATAGACAAATTGCTACATGGAACAAAGTAGAATCCAGTAACAGACCCATTTATGTATAGGAATTTAGGGTTGAATAAAGTTGGTATTTTGATACAGTTGAGAATTAATTGTTCAGTATACTGTGTAGGGATAAATGACTATTTGGGAGGAAAGATTTTACTTCCCCAAATTCAAAATGAATTTTATTTGGCTCAAAGAACTAACTCAAAAACAAAAACAACTGTAAAGGTATTAGAAGAAAATAAAGGGAAATGTGTTGGAGGATATATTATGTTGGCAAATACGATTTTTTTGTAGACCATTTAGGAAAGACCAAGACCCAAAATCATAAGGAAAGGAGTGATAAATTTGATCATTATCAAAGTTGACATTTCTTTGTGACAAAAGACATTACAAGATGATAGATTGGGAAAAAAGTTTGTAACATGTATAAAGAGGTAAAGAATAACAGAATTGACACAATTAAGAAATGGAGAATAGGAGTAGTTCTCAGAAAGATGTGAGAGTCAAAGCAGTGAGGAGGGATTCAATGTCACTTCTGATTAGGGAAATGAAAATTAAAACAACTAGATTTTTTCAGTGGGGGCTATCATGCAAAAATTAAGATAGTGAAGGGTGTGGAGAAAAAGGCACCTAATACATTTTTGGGAACACAAAATTGGATCTACTGTTTCAAATAACAATTTGGCAGAGCCTATAAAAATTTTTAAAAAACATGCTTTGATCTAGCAGATACTCCTCAAGGAATCTGTAATATTCCCACAAGAGAACACAAGTTAGTATGAGCAAAGTCTGTTGTAGCATCATTTATAATAAAAAATGGAAGATAACCACAAATAAATTTTGGTATCTGTGTACTATGGAATGTTATTGTAGCTTTTAAAAAAAAGAGGTA